GACAAAATAATCCAAAGCAAATTGTTCGCTGGAAAAGACATTGCCAAGGGTATTGGAATAAAGACGGTCATGTTAAAGATAGATTTCAGATTCACTTTAATATTAATGAAAGAAATTCCGGGATTATTAGAACCGGCAGATGCCGCATTGCAAGGACGATCGACAAGTCTCAAAGATGCTATCGAAATAATAACTTGTGTCAAAAATAAAATTCAATTAGTAGCATTGAAGAATTTGATTTGATAAAACTTCAACCTCTAAAAAAACTTGGTTAGAGTCATTTTAAATCAGCCAAAATTATATAACTATAACTATTATTATTGTTATAGGTATCGAGCTACCATCTATTGAAGAGTTGTCGGTTGTTAAAGAGTTCGTCGCCATGGAACAAAAAGAAAGTATATTCTCTAAACTTTACAAAGGGAAGCTTTTAGGGCAACGTATTAGCAGTACGGCACTTTGTGAGTCTTCTTTTTCTTCATTGACAGCAATTAATCGACCTCAAAGAAGAGAGAGAGAAAGAAGAGTCGCTGTACTAGACCCAGATTTGTTTCTTCGAAAATTCCATAGTTGTGCTAATAGAAAGCTCCCCCTATTTTAAACATTCAAATCGGTATAATAATAATAATAATTTATTAGTCCTGTATGATCACAGATGTGATATAGGATAAGTCAGTCAGAGCACTACAAAAGCTAATAACAAATCACGTACACATACGTTTTCGTACCACATATGGCATATTCCAAATATGGATACAGATAAATCAAATTAGCGTATAGATAAAATTTATAAATATAAAACATATATGTATATATAAAAAAGCAAAATAAAGGACAAATCATTGTCATTCAAACAACAATGATCAAAATCAAACAAGACATTAAAAACTGTTTAACTGTTCTTTTAAAAGTGTTCAGTGGTTGTGATTTCAAATTGTTGGGGAGTCTGTTGAAAAACTTAATAGCCATGTATCTAGGGTTCCCCTCCGTTCTCGCCAATCTATGCGACAGCACCTCCAATACTTGACTGTTCCTTGTAAAGTAAGCACCAGAACTTGCTCAATTGTGTTTTAGCAAAGATTGAGAATATATACAGATGGTCAAAAAGTCATTGCAGCTGGGACAATGCTCCCCATGCTTCTATTTCCATAAATGGAATGGATATGTGCGTGGTAAAATATCAGTCATATCCACTTCTCCACAACAAAGCATATCCCATCTACAATTTTGAGATATATATACCTATATATATATATATATATCCATAAAAATTTAGTCACATCCACTTGTTTTATTGATTTGCCAAACGATTTTATTAATAAAGTGTGAGGTGGAAAGGTTAAATCTAAGGAAAACAGATTTCTGATTATTTAAGCTGAGCCCATTATTTCTGAACCACTTACGTGTATCAGTCAAGCTTGAATTGGCAAGTCCTATAACCGATTCTAGGTTTTTACCATTAACAAGTAAAGAAGTGTCATCAGCATACATTACTGAGCAATCGGAGTGGAAGTTATTGAGGTACATTATGTATAAGAGAGGACCAAGTATGGAACCCTGTGGAACACCAGTATGGTAGAAATGTTGGCTGGACTGTGCATCTTGTACCTCGACATGATTGCATATTTAAAAGTTTGTGTTTAGCTGTTATATTTTTTTGGGGTTCACTGTATTGGTAGTTTTTTTAAAAAATTTAATAATAATAAAAACTGATATTGTAGACATTAGTAATGCGCATTTTATGACAAATACTGGTGGTCATATAACGTGCAACAAAGTGATGTTTCACAAGTAGACAGGATAAATATACGCTGTTTTTTACCCAGAAATACAAATACTTGATAGGTACTATAACTAGTAATGCCCTAGTATCAAGGCAGGTCTGGCTATGGCCTTGCTGTGCCAATATAGAGAATTTAATGATATTACTAGATAATCAGCTGTCATTCTGCCATGAAGGATACTTGTGAAATAGGGTATATGGGTGAATATCAGTTATTGGGGAATTCAATGTTCCTAGAAAAAAATCTTAATCCAATGGACAAATTGTTGAAATAGACCATTCAAATAGTGGAAGATGTCAATCTTTATTTGGAACATATGGCGCAATTGAGGTAACCATTAAGATTTAGGAAAAATCTGATTGAAAGTTAACAAAATGTATACTCCCCTGGCATGTTCCATTCCCAAATTTCACTACAAACATCAACAAATCCCTGTATTATGTACTGGTATAACAATAAGCGGATACTCTTTGTATTACCTAATACATCTGATAACATATTTTCGCAAAAAGGCACACTAAAAATATACATAAATGCGTAAAAAATCCCGTTTATTAGTGGTTCCTGAGAACAGTGTCACCCTCACCTGGCGCAATTCAAATTGCATATATTCATCAAAATATGGCAACTATGCGACTTTACCTTGAGCAGCAAGTAGCAAATGAAGAAGGGATAGTGCGAAACTATCGTAATTTGGAAAACGAAGACCAGGGACGCGTCAGTAGCCCACTAACAGTCGTCCGATACCCTTTTGCCAGTGAGTGAAGCATTTCCCCTGGTAAGCATATCTTTGTGAATTTAAAAGTTACATTTTTGCGACTTTATAAAAAATTAAGATTTTTGAATACAAAAGCCATGAATCACATTATAATAATATAATAATCAACATATCTTGCTTTTTTGGGGCTTACGCACGTTTTTGTCACTTCCCTGGCGTCACTACCCTGGCATTTTTTATGTCAGGGGAAATACACACTGCCCAGGGGAAATACAAAGGCACCTTTTTGTATAAGATGTGTAGCTACTATACCAAATTCAACTTCAAGAGGCAGTAGATATGAAATAGGTCAGGCATGAGGGGCCGGGCCAGACGCCTAGGGCCGTATTCAGTGCTCAAACGCTCATTGTCAGTGTTCATACCAATCTGTTACATCAATCAGCGGGCTGCACCTAAGAAGTTGCCTGGCCCAGTTTAGCGCTCTGAGCGGCCTGCTTCCTGCTCTTGAAGTTGAATATGGTATAGACACTATTTCATTAATTTCAGGTACCAAAAAACAATAACTCGCTACAATGGCAAAATTATAAAAAAGCAAACCCCAGAGGAAAGAGAAAAAACGCCAAGCAGAAAGGCCACGCGACCAGCGAATTAAAAGTGATCCAATCAAGAATGCTGAGTTAAAAGAAAAAGAAAAAGAGAAGTATCAAGATATGGAGAGAGCAAACTGAAAGATATAGGGATCGTGTGTGGCAAAAAACTATTGTTAATTATCCAGAGTCACCGCCGCCTTCGGATCATGAAGATCCATACTGCGATCCTCAAATATTGGACAATAGAGCTTCAGGTGCCAATAGACCCTCAGAAAAACAGAGGAAACGGATAAATGAGCTTATCAAAAAACAAAAAAACGAAACTGATCGATTAAAAAACAAGGTGAAGAGATTTCAAAGGAAACTAGATCACGTAAGAAGTCTAAAAATGTCACCAAAGTCGAAAGTGGACCGATTACTAAAAAAAAAACCAAACCAAGAAACCAAGTAATCAGGAGAACGTGGAAGAAGCATCTGACATTCAGTAAGGTAGTTCAAAATCAACTAAAAGAAAATATAAAGCATACCAAAAAGAAAAATGAGAAGACACGTGAAGTATTGAGTGGTAGGTTTGTTAGAAAGTACAATGTTTTAAGTCAAATTGATATGAAGCCTGTGAAACGATAACCCACTGTGGGAGAGGTTTGATAGACGTGACAAGGAGAACAAGAATGAATGAAACTAGAGAGAAGATAAAGAACGTAATTAAAAATTTTTTTGAAGGAGACTGCAACAGTCGCTTATGCGCAGGAAAAAATGACTACATTACGAAAAATAAAGTAAAAAACAAAAGAGGGTTTTACTAGACTCAATGAAGCATTTACACGAACAGTTCGTTAAAAACAAAGGAGTGCCGATAAGTTATACTTCATTTTGACGTTTGAGACCTTTTTGGATTGTATATCCAAACGTTCATAGAAGAGAAACATGCTTGTGTGTAATTCATGCAAATATGGAGTTGATTTTGCTCTCTTTAAGAAGAACGAAAATTATAGGCTTTATGAGTTTTCAAGCAATGCTAAATTACTTATGTTTCTATCGCATGACATTTCCAACATAAATTTGGAAAAGTATTAGAAAGACTGCCGGTGCTAAATATAGTAATGAGAGGAAATAGATTATTTTATAAATTCAGAACTCCTATACCTGTATTCGAAAAATGAGTATATACTCGAATTCATAAAAAATCGGGTTATACGTTATATGTTAACTTTATTTTTATGCTAGCTACCATTTTTTATTTACAAGCACTGATTGCGATTCAAAGACTGACCATAAGTATTACGTCAATTTTTTGTTTTAAGTTTTTATAATTTTATTTCTATTATTATTATTATTATTACTCAGGTACCTACATTGCTATCTATATTAAGTTGCAAGATATAAACAGCTATAGTGGTTTTTATTTAATATTAGTTCTTGTGTGAGCAGGGTTCACTCAGTTGATCCAAATGTTATTTTTTAAGAGACTAATAGAACATGTAGGATTTTGTTATTTTCAATAACTTATTTACCTATTGGTATTTATATTCTTTTATAAAGTATCCTTTAAGATCATTCACATGAGAAGTTGTCACTCTTCTGTCTCAGTTTGTCACCCTGTGTATAGTGTCACTCCCCTGACTACACATTTTCCCCTGGTAGCTGTAAAATCTCTAAAAATCAAAAAACTATCTGGTCCTGTCAAAGATGCATCACAAATAGTATAATCTTAAGAGGTAATGAATATGAAACTGAAATAAGTAATTTTTCTTAGGTACCACTAAAAACCCAAATACCTGATATTCACCCATATCTTAAAAAGTGACATTTTTTAGGTTTTTTTTTTACATAAACCGTCTTCATAACGGACAACATATAAATAACCTGTTGGAAACAGCTAATAGATATATTTAATTGACATTTTGTCCGTTTTACATAACACCCCTACGATTTCCGACGGGTCGGACAAAGCTATAATTGATCTTTACTTGAAAGATCTTTAGCTTGCTCTGGTTAAACTAGTAAACGTAATTATAGATGGTGTTTAGCTTACCATACTGTCATCATCTTCACAAAGATCGAATATGGCATTTAAAGCTTTTTCTTGAAGGTCAGGAAAATGTTTGAAAAACTTCGAGACTATTTGTGCTGCGAGCTTCTTCTCCTTCTCATTACCTTTGGTACGCTCCACACACTTCAAATACTCTTGGGAGTGCTAAAATTTGAAAATATTTATAGTAAAACTCAAATGTTCATTTGATAAACCAAACTCACCTTCGATACAACAGTTTCTTTTGCTTCCGTGAGAATCTTATACGTTTCGTATAACTCTTCTATGCTATCTGCCATTATTTGGAGCGCCTTGTTTCTATAATACTTTGCAAAAAGATCGTTGGTTCATCAGCTTGAATATTTAGTTATTATTGGGAATGTTTTCCTTGCGCATTGAGTTGAAAGAGGGAAAAATATAGCGGGCGGCCATCAACATTTAACAAATGTCAAACATCAAACCACAAAACACAAAACGGATAAGACTGAAAAAGTGAGAGCTGCACGTTAAGCGTCGACAACACCGTTGTCGTTTGTCAGATGTTTGCACCGCCTACTTGCATGGAGATCTGCACGGGTATTATGTGAAAAAACTATAAAACGTAAAAAAACCTATAAGATGTCAACTTGCAGACTAGGTAATTGTTAGGGTACAAACAGTCATTCCACGTTTGCTCACTAAGATCGTTGTGAGCGTCCATCTATGGAGGAATAGCACAACTACACGTACACGCATTGTTGGTTGCATATTTTTGGTGAAGCCTAGTGGTCCATAGTTTTCATCTCTGAGAATAAGAAGAACAACTAATTTCTATCTTTGAGTCTCAAGTAAGTGTATTTGAGACAAGAATTCAATGGAATTATCAACAGCACATACAACTTACAGCTTAGACCTCCAGTAATGCCATCTCTGAACCAGATTTTACATCACATCAGCCAAACATTCATGACCTTAAGGCAACACGTAAAACTAAGTGCTGAGTTAACATCTTGTAGAAAAACCTATATAATATCAAAAAACCAGTATGTCAAAAAATCGATATAACGTCAGTTTTCAAGATACGTAATACCCGTGCCGTGCTGGAGGAACCATTGAAGAAATGCCGAGAATACGCCGGGATGTCATTTTTTCATAATTTGAAATCTGCTGAAAATGGTTTCCGATATTGAAGGTATATTTCTTGAACACCTTTATTCATAAAATATACCCAATAAGGGTTATTACCTTATTTCTGTTTTAGCAGTTTTGATGAGAACAAGGTTCAGAATAATAAAATCCGCAACAAATTATGAAGCACAAAATATATTTAGTGTGACAAAATAATCATGCTCTCTTGTCAATGGTATAAAAATTGAATTATATGAAAATAGAGATAGATAATTTCCAAATTCATATTATATGTTGCAAAACACAGGCGTCTCACTTCACTTAATTGCTTCTTGATAATTCTGAAACAATACAGAAAACACTAATGTAATTCATAATTCTTTGTAAATAAGCTAGCAACTTTTAATTAGTTTAATGAGTTCCATGCCTTTAGTTTGTTGGCCTAGATGGGCAGAATTTTGCTGTATAAGGGTTAGGGCTTTATGACTACTCTGCCTATATTACCATATCTTATTTAATACAAAAAAAACATTTGTACTTTATATAACGGTGCTAACTCCAAAGATTATAAAGAGGCTGAATCCAGACATGCAATTTTAACCCATTTAGGCCTAATGTACTATGAATAGTACAGCCTAAGCTTGTTTTTTCCTGTAGATATCTGTACGATTTGGTTAAATTGAATAGCTCGCGGCGACAGTTTGCGGGTGGATCTCGTACAGTACGGAGAATTTTGCGTATTGTGGAATATTTTGTATGTGAAATCAGTTTTTGTATATTGGAAAATAGAAGATGAATGAATATGGCGTGCGCTTTAAAAAGTAAGTAGGTTTTTTATGACATAAAATAAAAAAAAAACTAGTTTATTTTTATGAAAATATTATTTCCTTAGTTGCGGCTTCTAGATTTTATGATTTTATTATGTGTTTTATTTATGCTTTGTTTGCGAGGGTATGATAAAGTTAGGTGTACTATATTTAGTACATCAGGAAAAAAATATGTTCATAGTCAAAACAAAAATAAAATGGTTTTAGGTAAATTATTTTTGAATAAGTGATTATTTTGAGAAGGAACATTTGTTTCAGGGGTTTTTCTTTGCATGAGGCACTAGCCATGATAGAAGATGACGACATTGAAGCTGAGTCTATCACTTTGTTACCTCCCACTAATGCATGCGGTAACATAACCGACGAGGATTCTGGAGACGAAGAAAGACTGGATATCAACAACTTGCCAGGAAGCTTAATGCAAGCTGAGGTCGAAGTAAATAAGAATCAAAACGAGGATATGTGGAGTTCAGAAGATGAAATACCACTCAGTGAAAACAGGGGTAATAATCGGAAGGAAGTGAAAAAGAAGAAAACATATAATTACGTAAAAGAAGATTTGCCAAGAAATGAGTAAGCGTTTGCTCAACAGAAAAACAGGAATATTATGGTTACCAAATATGAAATCAAATGTTTTCTAGGCATATTATTGTTGAGTGGCTACAGTAGTGTATCTCGCAGAAGGATGTATTGGGAAAAATCCAGTGATTCACACAATTCACTTGCTTCTGAAGCTATTTCTCGCGATAAATTTGAATTTATAATGCCTCACATTCACTTCCTAAACAATGAAGCTCTGGATGCTAAATGATAAATTTGCTAAACTAAGGCGTCTTTTCAATCACCTAAATAAAAAAATTTTGGAATACGCAGTACCAGAAGAGAATCATAGTATTGATGAGGCAATGGTTCCATACAACGGGCGACATGGTTGTAAACAGCATATCCACGGGAAACCAATAGGCTATGGGTTCAAATTTTGGTTTGGCGCTACTACTCTTGGTTACATCTTATGGTTTGAACCTTATCAGGGTGCTTCGTCGTATGTGAACGCGGCTTACAAATCTTTAGGTGTTGGCGCATCAGTTGTATTGAGCTATGCTGATAGGCTAAAAAGCAAATGGGCAAATCTTAGGTTTCATTTTGTATTTGATAATTTCTTTTCTTCGCCACCTTAATATGCCCCGGCCACGAGATGTAATCGATCCCGGATATGAAGGATGCATTGTAGAATTGATTTTCGTGAAAAAAAAGTGGTGTTGATTTGAAGAAAAATTGAGTATTTTAATTTTCAAATTTCCATGTGCGTTTCGTATAGGTAACTTTCGCTCCCCCTGGTAGGCTTAATATGCCCCGGCCACGAGATGTAATCGATCCCGGATATGAAGGATACATCGTAAAATTGATTTTCGTGAAAAAAAAGTGGTGTTGATTTGATGACAAATTGAGTATTTTAATTTTCAAATTTCCATGTGAGTTTCGTATAGGTAACTTTCACTCCCTCTGGTAGGCTTAATATGCCCCGGCCACGAGATGTAATCGATCCCGGATATGAAGGATACATTGTAAAATTGATTTTCGTGAAAAAAAAGTGGTGTTGATTTGAAGAAAAATTGAGTATTTTAATTTTCAAATTTCCATGTGCGTTTCATATAGGTAACTTTCGCTCCCTCTGGTAGGCTTAATATGCCCCGGCCACGAGATGTAATCGATCCCGGATATGAAGGATGCATTGTAGAATTGATTTTCGTGAAAAAAAAGTGGTGTTGATTTGAAGAAAAATTGAGAATTTTAATTTTCAAATTTCCATGTGAGTTTCGTATAGGTAACTTTCGCTCCCTCTGGTAGGCTTAATATGCCCCGGCCACGAGATGTAATCGATCCCGGATATGAAGGATACATTGTAAAATTGATTTTCGTGAAAAAAAAGTGGTGTTGATTTGAAGAAAAATTGGGTATTTTAATTTTCAAATTTCCATGTGAGTTTCGTATAGGTAACTTTCGCTCTCTCTGGTAGGCTTAATATGCCCCGGCCACGAGATGTAATCGATCCCGGATATGAAGGATGCATTGTAGAATTGATTTTCGTGAAAAAAAAGTGGTGTTGATTTGAAGAAAAATTGAGAATTTTAAGTTTCAAATTTCCATGTGAGTTTCGTATAGGTAACTTTCGCTCCCTCTGCCCCGGCCACGAGATGTAATCGATCTCGGATATGAAGGATGCATTGTAGAATTGATTTTCGTGAAAAAAAAGTGGTGTTGATTTGAAGAAAAATTGAGAATTTTAATTTTCAAATTTCCATGTGAGTTTCGTATAGGTAACTTTCGCTCCCTCTGGTAGGCTTAATATGCCCCGGCCACGAGATGTAATCGATCCCGGATATGAAGGATACATTGTAGCATTGATTTTCGTGAAGAAAAAGTCTTGTTGATTTGAAAAAAAATTGAGAATTTTAATTTTCAAATTTCCATGTGCGTTTCGTATAGGTAACTTTCGCTCCCTCTGGTAGGCTTAATATGCCCCGGCCACGAGATGTAATCGATCCCGGATATGAAGGATACATTGTAGCATTGATTTTCGTGAAGAAAAAGTGGTGTTGATTTGAAAAAAATTGAGAATTTTAATTTTCAAATTTCCATGTGAGTTTCGTATAAGGTCACTTTCACTCCCTCTGGTAGGCTTAATATGCCCCGGCCACGAGATGTAATCGATCCCGGATATGAAGGATACATTGTAGCATTGATTTTCGTGAAGAAAAAGTGGTGTTGATTTGAAAAAAAATTGAGAATTTTAATTTTCAAATTTCCATGTGAGTTTCGTATAGGTAACTTTCACTCCCTCTGGTAGGCTTAATATGCCCCAGCCACGAGATGTAATCGATCCCGGATATGAAGGATACATTGTAAAATTGATTTTCGTGAAAAAAAAAGTGGTGTTGATTTGAAGAAAAATTGAGTATTTTAATTTTCAAATTTCCATGTGAGTTTCGTATAGGCAACTTTCACTCCCTCTGGTAGGCTTAATATGCCCCGGCCACGAGATGTAATCGATCCCGGATATGAAGGATACATTGTAAAATTGATTTTCGTGAAAAAAAAGTGGTGTTGATTTGAAAAAAAATTGAGAATTTTAATTTTCAAATTTCCATGTGAGTTTCGTATAGGTAATTTTCGCTCCCTCTGGTAGGCTTAATATGCCCCGGCCACGAGATGTAATCGATCCCGGATATGAAGGATACATTGTAGCATTGATTTTCGTGAAGAAAAAGTGGTGTTGATTTGAAAAAAAATTGAGAATTTTAAGTTTCAAATTTCCATGTGAGTTTCGTATAGGTAATTTTCGCTCCCTCTGGTAGGCTTAATATGCCCCGGCCACGAGATGTAATCGATCCCGGATATGAAGGATACATTGTAGCATTGATTTTCGTGAAGAAAAAGTGGTGTTGATTTGAAAAAAAAATTGAGAATTTTAAGTTTCAAATTTCCATGTGAGTTTCGTATAGGTAACTTTCGCTCCCTC